GCTTTTTGTTTTGGCATATTAAGGTATAACTGATAATTTTAAATGAGTAAAATGTAAATTAAGTTATATATTTAAAAAAATTATAAAATAAAAATTAAAATTATTTTAATTTACTAAAATCTTATAAAATATTTATTCAAATGTAATTAGTATAATGCCGGGAAAATTTATAAAAATTATAGTTATGATTGACATAATAATTAAATTTTTAAAAAATATTGTAATTGATATTTTTAATGTTTATAAAATTTTTTAAAACTATTTACTTATCATAAACAAATTGCATACCAATATATCGTTTATAAGTTTTTTTTAATTGAAATTTATAATAATAATATTAATAAATATTTATCAATTGGATAATCATTATATTATATTGTAATAGTTGTTAACATAGTTTGCCAACAATTTAATTAACACATAGTTAACATAATTTTATATATGTAATTAAGAAAAAAATACATAACAAAAATTTATTTTTATTTTAATATATATATATACAAAAAACTAAAATCAATTAAATAAAATTTATATGTAAAATTAATTAATTATTTTTTTAGTTATATAATGTAAAAATTTATTAAAATATTACAATAATTTTTTAGTTTATTAGTTTTAATATCTTGTAGTATTTATTTAATTATTTTGTGAAATTTTATTACAATTATATGTAATGCTATATTATAATTTTAAAACTTTATATACTGTACTTTATATTGCAAAAAATAGTTTAATTAAATATTACACAATATCTAATACCAATAATATAATATATTTGTTTAGTTTACAGTATTATAGCTAAACATTTCTATTATTTATTTATTTCTATAAACAATATTAATATACAGTAATAAATATAACAATACTATAAAATATATGATATATTTTGTTAAATATTATTATATATATATATACTGTATTTACTTTTATTTGTAAATACTATAAAATAGACGAAAAAATATCAAATAAGTAAAGTTACAAATATTATTACATGATATACACTGTATGTATAAATATAATAAAACATAAATATTATAATTTTTTAAAAAAATTGTTGTTAAACATAGAAATACAATACATTAGTAGTATAATTATTATAAATATTTTTTAAGCATAATTATATGAAAACATTTTAAAAAAAATTTCTTATAGTTAATCAGTCAATTAATTAGTTATAAAAAGCAATATTTAAAAAAAACAACAAAAAATTGTTAAACATTGTTCATTAAATATTTTTTTATATAATTTTTTTTGCAAATATGTTTAGAAAATAATATTGTATTAAATTTTTTAAAAACATTTAATAATTTTTCAAAAATATATAGTTTATATTAAATATTACTTTACATCTACAGTAACAGTAGTGTATTAGATATTCAAAAAAAAACAGTTACTAATAATTAAAATAAACAAAAAAACTTTAAATTATTTTTTGTTTAAAAAATATTCATGTATTGAAAACTATAATTTTAATTATAATCATAACTAGTAGTTATGTTTCAAACTATAATTGCAATCCAGTTATCATTATAACCAATAATACCAAATAATAATAATACTGTAAACAGTAGCGAAAACTTAAATAAATAATACTAAAACATTGACTACCGTTCCCCCTCATCCCGTTAACCACTAGCCAGGGGTTAACCCCTCCCCCTACTACACCCCACCCCACCTCACCTAACATAACCTACCCATCTCTATCAATACCCACACCTATCACAGTGTAAAGGTATGCTATAGTCGGCTAAATATCGTATATAATAGACTATTAGACTATATATTGTGACGGGCATATATGAGTGTTTACCCGTCAATAGCCCGTAAAGTAGGACTTTACGAAGCAATATGCAATGCGGGGTATATTTGATAGGAAACTGTGACGTAATTACTGTACGGGATGCTATTAGAAGACTATTTGAAGAGTAACGGTATATTTGGATAGCTTATATATTACGCCACAGTATATATGAATGGCCCATTCGGGCCCTGGTCAATGGTAACTGCGCTGTATATCGGTATTAGTATTCGGAAGCGTTGTATCGGAACTCGGAAGGACTCGTCCGCAAAATGACGGAATTATAGCCCAACTCTGTTACACCTAAGGCTTGCACTTACTATTCAAATAATGTGTACAACTGTTTAGGTGAGCCTGGATGCCCCTCCTAGACTAGCTATTGCTAGCCTGGGCTCCACAACTTAACTTTTATTGATAAATATAATGAGATAGTCAATACATTACATGTATTGCAAATTACAGTATATTAAACATAATAATTAATTTAACTTATTTACATAATTAATAATAAAGCATAAATCAATTTAAACAAATAAACATAATATTAAGAAATAGTAATTAAATTCAAAAGTGGAAATAATATTAAATATTATTAATTATAATTAAATAACTATGTTTTGTTAAAATATACTTTAACTTATAATAGAGAGATACATAAATATATACAGTTTAGTATAGTTATAACTACAAAGTAACTTTATATTGTTTTGGTGATACTGGAACCGCTTAAGTGATGTATAGACCATCACAATATTATATATATATTTATACACTATTGATAACTATTAATATTATTTTTTAATAAAAAAATTTATTAACATTCTTATTGTTTTGTATTTTTTATTGTATTAAAATATAATTGATTTTTAAAATAAAAATTTTTGTAATTAACATTATTTATTTTTTTTCTATCTACTTATTAAATAAAAATATTCAATTATGTAATAATAATAATTATTATTATTTGTATATAATAACTTTGTTTAAATGAAAAGTAAAATATCAATATTAATTAAAAGTTTAATAGTATTATTATTATCTAGAAACTTTTTGGACTTTTTAAATATATATATATATATATATATAATTATAATATTAAAATTGATATAACTCACTTGTAAAATTTTTGACAAAATGGCCGCTTCAAATATGTTTTTGCTAAAAATATTAATATAATATTATTAAATAAAATAAAAATATTTTGATTAATTATAATTTTTTTCATTGTATTTCTAATAACATTTAGAGTCAGTTATTAGAGTTAAGTGCATATAATTATATATTTAATAATAATAATAATAGTCTATAACTTAAAAAACTGTTAATTACTTTCATAATAATTGAAAATTAATAGCTAAATACACTGAAAACAATTATGAAAATATTACTAAATAATAATTATTACTATCAATATTTTTTAATAATAATATTCATAATATTAAGCTCTATTACCCGACCGGGAGAACTGAGAGAACCAGGACCGGGAAGACCAGGACAGGGCAGACCAGGACCCGGAAGACAAGGGCAGGGAATACCAGGACATAGAAGACAAGGGCAGGGAATACCAGGACCCGGAAGACAAGGGCAGGGAATACCAGGACCCGGAAGACAAGGGCAGGGAATACCAGGACCGGGAATACTGGGACCGGGAAGACCAGGACAGGGAATACCAGGACCCGGAAGACAAGGGCAGGGAATACCAGGACCCGGAAGACAAGGTCAGGGAATACCAGGACCGGGAATACTGGGACCGGGAAGACCAGGACAGGGAATACCAGGACCGGGAAGAATAGGAATGCAAGAAAAACTACGACCGGGAGGACTGGGAATACCTGAAAAACCAAGACTAGGATCACAAGGACTGGGACCACAAGGAAGACCTGAACCGGGAAGACAAGGATTCGGACTACAAGGAAGACCAGGACTGGGAAGACAGGAACCCGGGAGAGTAGGAATGAGACCACAAGGAAGTCAAGAACCCGGAAGACAAGGACTGGGACAACAAGGAAGACCAGGACTGGGAAGACAAGAACCCGGGAGAGTAGGACTGGGACCACAAGGAAGACCAGGACAGGGAAGACTAGAACCCGGGAGACCAGGACTGGGACTACAAGGAAGACCAATAAAATCAAAATTTTGATTAAAACCTAGAAAATAAAAAATATCTTTAAAACTTTATTAATAGTATATACAGTAATAGCTAATAGTATTATATATTTTATAGATATATTATAGTAAAACTAGATATATATATATATAAATATTTAGTTTTTTTTCAATTGTATAAAATAATTTGTTGACATTTTTTAATATACATACACATAATATTTTTACGACAAAATTATATTTAATATATTAATACTTTTTTTTTATTGAAAATAGATACCATTTTTTTATTATTATTATATATGCAAATATGTTTTTATAAAAAAAAAATTTATTTAAAAAATGATTTTTATTTATTCAACTAATTATTACTAGTTAGTCATTAAAGTAAAAAATAAAAATCATTCAAACAAACTATCAATTATTATATATATATATATATATATATATATTAGTACGTATATTAATACGTGTTAGTATTAATAATAATAATAATAATAGTAATATTGTAGTTAATAATTATATGATAACTAAACAATGCAATTATTATTATTGATAATAATTATTATTATTATTATTAATACTAACACGTATTTATGTCAAGTCAACAAAAAACATAAGACAAACAAAATTTTTATAATTAAAACAAAACATTTTTTTTATAGTTAAAACACCATTATTTTCTAATAGATGCAAATATGTTTTTTTAAATAAAAAATTATTAACAAAAATATTTAACAAATAATTTATGTTATTAATCTGTAATAATTAGTCAGTCAGTCATAACAGTAATACAACAACAAAAATATATAAAATAATAAATGATAATAACATTCAAACACACTATCAATAAAATTATCTATTGTATTAACTAATTTATCTGGTTAAGCTAAAAAATATACAATAAAATTATTATTATTATTAATATTATTTGATAATAATCACTATTACTATCTATAATAATAACAATAACATGTATTTATATTAAACAGGTATTAAAGGCTATACAATTATTTCAAATAAACGCTAAACAATATTAATTTAAGTCAAGTTAGCAATAATAATAATAATAATAATAATAATAGAAATATAAATAATGGACATAATTATTATGGTAACGGTGCTTATGGACAACCTAATCATGGAGGCCATGGATATCAGCCGGGTTATGTTGGTGGTGGTGGTATAGGAGGACCTGGATATCCACCACAATCAGCTGTCTGGGGATACCCACCACAACAACAATATCTACAATCAGTAGTATATGGATGAATAAAAATGATTGGATTAAACCATTTATCTCTCTCTCTCTCTAAAAAAATTTTGTTTTCTAGTTGTTGTTAAATTTTTTTGTTATTTTATAATTATAAGTTCAAAAATAAACGATAAATTAATAAACTAACAAATTTTGTTTAATAATTAATTTACAAAATAAAAGAAAGAATTTATTTCAACAAATAAATAGAAAATATTTAACAAATATTTATAATTATTTACATAATTGAGAATTTTATGTTTTTTGTTGTTTCATAAATATAAATTCAAAATTATTTTTTGTTAATTATACATATATTAATAATAGTACAGTATTTAAAATAATAAAAAAAATTAGTTAAGTATAGACACTATATTTTTATAGCCATTTAATTAAGTTTAAAAATGTATATGATTTTTAAAAAAATTATTTAATTATTTTTTCCTAGTTATGTCAGCCATAGTTAATTACTCAATTAGATAGTGTAGACATTTTATATATAATATATATATAACTAAATTTTTTTTTATATATACACTTATTAATTATATAATACTATAGTATAAACTAATAGCTGTTTAAAAAAAACAACAAAAATGATATTATTATCAACAATATGGATGATAATAGTAATAATTACTACAACTATTATTATTGACAATCATTTAATATATGCACAAATTATTAATAATCCTCAAAATAATAACAATGTTAATCAAACTGGTCCGGTTGATCAAAGTATAACAATACATTATGATGGACATGGAGGACATGGAGGTTATCCACCATATATTCATAATCCTCAAAATAATAACAAAGTTAATCAACAAGGACCAATTGATCAAAGACAAATAATACATTATGGAGGACATGGAGGTTATGGTGGACATGGAAGTTATGGTGGACATGGAGGTTATGGAGGTTATGGAGGACATGGAGGATATGGAGGACCATCAGTAGTCTATCATCAGCCAGTAGGATATGTAGATGGTGTAGGAGGAGGCCCTGGCTATCAACCGCAACCACAGCCACCTAATTATGGGTGGTATGGGCGTCGAAAATAATTTAACCTGTATCTATTTTATTTAATATACCTAGTATATTTAATACTAGCAAACAAATTGAAAATTTGTTAAAGTAATTTATATATATATATATATATTATATATAGTACAGATATTATAAAAAATAATTAAATAATTTTTTGTTAAAAAAATTTAGTTATAAGTAAAAGTAAGATATAATATATATTAGCTATAAATTTTTTTTGTTTACTATTATAGTTGTTATTAAAAAATTTCGTTATTTTATACTTTATAATTCAAAATGAATTAAATAAATATTTTTTTTAAAACTAATGAATTATTTTTCTATAATCTATTAATATATTAGTAAAGTATTTAACATAAATTTTTTTTAGTTATGTATAGACACTATATTTTAATAGCGATTTAATTAAGTTTAGAAAACATATATTATTAATGTATTAATTTTTTTCTAATTATGTCAGCCATATATCAATAGTAATTATACAATTAGAAAGTGTAGACATTTTATATGTATATATATATATATATATATATAATATTTATATATATACATGAGTATTCAATAACTAAAAGTTTATATATAGACATAAATTATATAATATAGTAGTAAACAAATAGCTGTTGTAAAAAAACATCCGATAATTATATACGTTTTCTGGTGACGTTGTTTGGTAGGGTAGGGTTGGGCCCCCACCACCAACTTATAGATAGAGATTTTTAGATTTACCCATTTTCCAAAAAAAATAATGATATTTTTTAATAAACAAATTGATTTGTATTTTTCAGATTTTTAAAAAAAAAATTATTAATTAACTTAAGTAAATTATAATTAAATTTTTTTAAAAAAATATTTATAATAAATATAGTACAATATCATTAATTTTAAGATAACAAAATTGTAAATAATTAATTGAATAGTAAAAATATGTAAATATAGTACATTGTATTTGTTTTATCTTTATATAAATAAATATATATATATATATATATAGAGAGAGAGAGAGAGACAGCACCGGGAGGTGTACTATAGTAATAGTAGTAGTAGTTTAGTACTAGTAGTTTAGTAGTAGTAGTAGTAGTATTAGTAGTATTTATATTAGTTATATTCTGAGTGTTTATTTGAATTACGTTTAATTAAAAAAATATCTATTAATAGTAGTATATTTTTTTCAGCAAATATGGTTAGATATAACTATTTAATGTTATAATTTAAAATACAATATAATGAGCTGTAACTTTTGAGCTAATAATATTCATACAACAAAAATTATTAAAAGCGTTTAATATCAATATTAAATCAATTTCTATATTGTTATATCAATAAAATCAACTATATAATTAGATTGATAATGTTTGCGTATATAAATATTGTATTAACAATTGCTGTTATGATTATGATGTTGGCCACTATGTCTGGTAATTTTATGCTTTTAGTATACATACACATTAAAATTATAATTTATATTATAAATTATCAATAGTCAAAATTATATATATATATGTGTGTGTTTTTTTATATCAATTTAGTTTTTTAAAAGTGTGTATTTAATTATAAATTCATTATTATTTGTTTATATATAATTCTATAATTTATATATATATATATATATATATAAAGTTGCTTGATAATATATTAATAGTTATTAAACAAAAAACTTTTAAATAATTGCAGTCGTAATTTTGATATTATAAAAACTGTAACTTTTATTGAAATAATATAAATTATAAAGTATTACAATAATCAATGAAAATAAGTTTAAACAAAGTATAGTATTGTGTGTGTATATAGAGAGTGACTGTCCTAATGGTCAGTCAGTGTCCTATTTTTATACACATGTTTGGGTAAGTGGCCGCACCAGCGGCTACTTTGACATACTTTTATGTTAGGATTATAACCCTTTTAAACAAATCATAAAATCATATTTGGACTAAAATAATCATAAATTCAAAGTTATATTTATAAAATCAAATATTAGTTTACTGTATCTTTATGTACTGTATCTATATTTATGATAAAATAAGTGTATACTTGGAAAATACATAAAATAAGTTATAATATTGATATTAACATAAAAATAGGTATTATTTTAAGTTATATTTAAGACAATAAAATCAATTAGAAATGTTAAAATAAAATGTATAATGAAACTAAAAATAAATGACAATATTTCGGGTATACTTTATATATATTATAATTTTATTTAACAATTTAATTGTATTAAAAAAAATACTTGATAACTAAACAAACATTTTTTGTTTTATTTAATAATAATGAAAAAAATTATTTTTAATTAAATTATTTTTATTAATTTTTTTTTGAAAATTTTATTATATATATAGATGGCCAATGCCTTGGCGATCTTGTTCGTTGCGGTTTTATTTGTTGTGATAACTGCGAGACTATGAGCTATTGCAGCCATTAAATCTGTAAAAATTTGTCTAGCTGAACTAACAAAATTTACTAAAAAATAGTGATTACATTTTATAAATATTTTTTAAAAAATATTATATATTTCTTGGAGTTTTTTTATTATATAATAGATTAGTTTCAGTTAGAAATGATTATTAATATTGTACTAAAAAAAATCAAATTATTTAATTAATAATAATTATGATAATAAAATAAAATAAATTTACAATCGTAATAAAATATTTATTATTTATTTATTTTTTATAACATTTGGTTATTGGTTTTAAATTTTTAAAGTGTTATTTGAATATATTTGAATCCACTGGTCATTCAATAGGTATATCAAACCTAGTCTAAAATTATCCAGATCTACATGTGTTACTACAGATAACTTACAATAATAGAGTATAGAGGACAGGGATAGTGAAACAAAACAAAAAATTTACGAAATTTTTCTATAAATTTAAAATTTTTAGATAAAATTGTTCATTTTTACTAAGTAATTATATTTTCAAAATAATAATAGTTATAATAGATTTATTATAAATATTATGTTAGTATGTATAGTAAATTAATTTTTAAAAATATTATCAATAATTTTTTAAAAAAAATATATATAATTATTATTATCTACAATTTCAATAATCATTATGTTTTAGATTATTTATAATTTTCTTAAAAATATAAATAACTAATTAAATAAAATAATAGTATTGTAAATATTTTACAATTATTTTTAATGTTTTTTATTAAATTAAAAATTTTGTTTTTGAAAATTTAGCTCGATAATAATAATAATAATAAATTTATCAATATTTGTTTTAATATAGTCTAAAAAACAATCAATAATTTATAACATTATTATTATAAATAATATTGTAACATATTTTATAATTATTTAATAGTATTATTATTATTATTATAAATAATATTGTAATATATTTTATAATTATTTAATAGTATTATTATTATTATAAATATAAAATAAAATTTTTTATTTAAAAAAATGATAATATTTTAAACTCGTTGTATTATTATTTGTATTGTTGTTTTTTTGTTAAATTAAAAAAATTAGTTTTTTAATATTGAAAATTTAGCACAAAATGATCGTGCAACAAATTCAATTTACCCGTCCTATAGGTAACATATAGAAATGTACAAAAAAAAGTATTTATTGTTTTTTAACTTCTTAAACTATCCTAAACTTATATTTAAATTATAATATGATTACTCTTTTCAACAAATAGGTAATTTTTAATTTTTTAGTTTATTTTAATTAAAATAATGTTATTTTTTTGATGAGTTTTAACGTTATTTTAACTATTTTTAATCAATAATTAGATTATTATAAATATTAAAAACATAAAAACACTTACTAAAATAGCATCAACTAAAATTAAAAATTTTTTAAACTTCAAAAAAATCTTCGGCGCCTTTCCCATTTGGTCAAAAAGTCTGGGGGGTAAAATCCCAAAATCTCAATCTTAGGGGGGTATTTTGGCCTTACCCCCCCTACCCCCCTTACTTAATCCTGATATATATATATATATATATATTATATATATACAGTACAGATATGTATAAAATAATTTTTCTTGTTAAATACGGCCCGAGACATCGTGTATGAATCGGGCAAACATTTTGATTGAATAGTTATCCAATATTTTTATTTTCAACAATTATTAATAATATTATATTTTAATATATATATGATGAATATATATATATATATATATTTAATATATATATATATAATATATTTATAAATATATTGATTATTTAGTAGAATATTTTAAATGACATTTTCGAAATAATAATATGATAATAATGTAAATAATTTTAACAAAACAAACAAAATTAATAAATAATAATAATTACAATTTAGTTGTTTGTATTAGTTCTAACAAAAAAAACATTATTAATATTTTTATTATTATTATTAGTAATAGTAGAAGTAGGGGCATTATTATTATTATTATTTATATTATTAGTATTAGTTTTATTAATAGTATTTAAATTTATAGTATACTGAGTGTTTATTTGAATTATGTTTAAAAATAAAATATTTATTAATCGTATAATTATTATGAATTTTTTTTGAACAAATTAGTAAATATATTACCAGTTGATAGTATATTGAAACCAAACCATTAATTATAATATAACGTGAATTTTTATACTGAAACAAATTACAAAATACGCGTTCCTGATTCCAGTGCATTATTGAAACTAAATAATACGTTTTGATTGTAGATCTATTCAAAATCTAATCTTGCTAAATATTTTAGAACCAATTCCACAAGTATTATGATTAAAATTATTGGTTACATGTTTATGTAAATTGTTATTATCTGAGTCCAACCATTTACCAAATAATGCAATACAATAGGAATCAATAGACAGAGATTAATATATATAAGCAATGAATCGCAAGTTAAAACTTTATTATTTTTAGTATTATTATTAGTTTGTTATTGTTGTTGTTTTACACTGTAATATAATGTATACTGAAACCAATTTTTATAATCAACAATTGAACCAATTTGTTGATTAATTGATAATTTGTTGATATTATTATAAACTATCCTACAATTTTTACTAATATTTCCACGTGTATATAATTATCTAATACTATATTTAAATATATTAATCATCATTTAAAATAAATAAATAAATTCTATCCAAATGTTAGACTGGTTTAAATAAAACTGATCCAAAGTTGTTAATAAATTTAACAAACTTTTTTTTTATATAAAATATATATTTAATTTAGAGTTTTGATAAAATTTCAACATATTTATGTTTAAAAAAAAGTATCAACAATAAAAACACTAACTGCTAAATTGAACCTGCTAAATTAATTAAAAAAAATGTGTACAAATACGTCATCGATTGTAGTTCTATTTAAATCTAATCTTGGCAAATATTTTTGAACCAATTCCACCAGTTTGATCACTAAAATTATTAGTTACAAGTTTATATAAATTGTTATTATCTGAGTCCAACCATTTACCAAATAATGTTATACAATACGAATCAATAGACATGGATTCATATATATATAAGCAATGAGTCGCAAGTTAAAACTTTATTATTTTTAGTCTTTTTATTATTAGTTTGTTTAACACTGTTAAATAATGTACATTGAAATCAATTTTTATAATCAACAATTGAATCAATTTGTTTATTAATTGATAATTTATTGATATTATTGTAATAAATTTTCTAAACTGTTCAAAAAATTCATAAATTATACGATTAATAAATATTTTAATTTAGACATGGATTCATATATATATAAGCAATGAATCGCAAGTTAAAACTTTATAAATTTTAGTATTATTATTAATTTGTTGTTGTTGTTTTATACTTTTATATAATATACATTGAAACCAATTTTTATAATTAACAATTGAATCAATTATAATTGAATAATTGATAATTTATTGATATTATTATAAACTTTTCTACAATTTTTACTAATATTTCCATGTGTACAATTATCTAATAAATTTGATTTTATAAGTACATTTTTTTTTAAAAAAACACAATGTTATTGATGGCAATTTAAATTTGATCATTTAATTCATATTTAATACATTGTTTACTGAATCAAATGATAAATACATAAAATATAGTTTATATATGTTTGTACAATTAAGCCAATAAAACACAATACATTTTTTATTATTTAATTTATATTTTACTGTTAAATGTAATTTTATAGTCCAAATCATTAAAATAATATTAAAAAGTAAAAATTATTGTAATAATTTAAAATAAAAAATTATATATTATATTTAAATGATATATTAATCATCATTCAAAAAATAATTAATATATTCAATCCAAATGTTAGACTGGTTTAAATAAAAATGATCCAAAGTTGTTAATAAATTTAACAAAAAAAAATTTTTCATATAAAATATATATTTAATTTAGATTTTTGATAAAATTTCAACATATTTATGTTTAAAAAAAAAGTATCAACAATAAAAACTGCTAACCGCTAAATTGAATCTGCTAAATTAATTAAAAAATTCTAAAATCTTTTTGAAAAACAAAAAATAATTTATTTAGGTTTTTAGAAATAGATACTACCAATAAAACCGAAACATAACGTAAATTTTTATATTGAAACAAATTATATACCCGTTACTGATTCCAGTGCATTATAGAAACTAAATAATACGTATCGATTGTACATCTATTAAAAATCTAATCTGGCTAAATATTTTAAACTTTAAACCACCATTTTTATATAAAACATTAAAATTATTAGTTACATGTTTCAATAAATTGTTATTATCTGAGTCCAACCATTTACCAGATAATGTAATACAATAGGAATCAATAGACAGAGATTCATATATATATATATATATATATATATAAGCAATTAATTGCTAGTTAAAACTTTATTATTTTTAGTATTATAATTAATTTGTTGTTGTTGTTGATTTTGTTTTACACTGTTATATAAAGTACACTGAAACCAATTTTTATTTTTTGAAATCAACAATTGAATCAATTTGTTGATTAATTGATAATTTGTTAATATTTTTGAAAACTTTCCTACAATTTTTACTAATATTTTCAATGTGTACAATTATCTAATAAATTTGATTTTATAAGTTATTAACATCAAATGTTAAGTACATAAAACCATAGTTTATATGTTTGAACAATTAAGCCAATAAAACAAAATAAATGTAGTAAATATTTAAGTATGTGGTAGCAACATTTTTTTCAAGCTTATTAAAACTAGTTTATTTAGTTAAAAATTAAAAATAATAGGTCTAATTAGTAAAATAAATATTAATATATTCAATAAAATAAAATTAGTTTTTATGTTAAATTATTATTATTATGTTTGTATTAATAGTTTTAGTTGTAATAAGATTGCACTTTTTTTTATCTTAAGAAAATAAAAATATTAATTATTTTATTATTTAAAAAACATATTATTTAAAAATATGATAGAAATTAAATGAACATTTTTTTTTGATGAACATAATTTTAATAATCAAATAATATCAAACTAATGTTAAGTTAGTTTTATTATACAGTAATATTATTAATAATAATTTATTTGTAAATATATTATACAAACCTAGCAAAGTACTACTGTATAAAAAAAATTGAAAACAATAATTTAAATATTTATTATTTTTTTTTGAAATAATATAATTAATTGATTGACATATACAGTACGTCAAGTTAATAAATGCTATATTTTAGTCAATCAAGTAATTTATTTTATGTATGAAATTTGAAATTTTATTAAAAACTTTGAAATAACAAGTTTTATTAACAATTAATTATTTTAAAAGCATTTAATAATTGTTTTATTTTTATTTTCTTTCACTTATTCTAATTACGGCAAAAAAAATAATATTAATTTTTAATTTCTTTTTTTTGTTTTGCTATTAAAATCAATAAATTATAAAATAAAAATTTCAATATTAGATGAAAAACATTTTAATTGTCTATATATTTGTTAATATAATAACACTAATAATTATATAATTATAAAAAATAACTATTAAATAAATAATATATATATATACAGTATATATATATTTTAATAAAAATATTTTAAAGAAATAATTATTATAGATTTTTTAATTACATAATATTTTAAATAAAAAAAGTAAATATACTGATAACTAGTCTAAACATTTAAAGATTAATAAATTAAAGTTACTTAAAAGTTATTTATTTTCAAGCAATTTTTATTAATAATATAATTTTTTTTTTGAAAATAAATTAATAAAAATAGAATAAGTAAATGAAAATAAATTTTTATAATATAATCAGGGTTTTTAGTAAATAGATGACTGGTATTTTGGGCATCTATTTTATTTTACTTTTACTTTAAATTGTTTAAAAAAAGTTAATGTATTTTCACAAATAACCTAATTAAGTGTTTAATTAGATTACTATATTAATATCAAACAAATATAGATCTAAAATAATTAATAATATTAAATTAATTAAAATAGTAGGTATCATAAGCTGAAAATAGTTTTCAAAGGTATGGCATATACAAAGCAGGCATTTGGCATCTATTGTTTATTACTGCCACTGCCACTTTAGAACCCTGATTATAATACATATTTTAATTTTTTAAATCTAATAATTTTTTAAAATTGAATTTTTTTTTAATTTTATAAAAAAATTAAAATGTAAATAAAAATACATTTTCTATAATTTTAATTATCATCATTATGTTTAAGATAATATTTTTTTTCCATATATATACAAATAACTAATTTAAAAAAACAATTAAATGAAATAATAGTATTGTAAATATTTTATTATCATTATTATTATTGTTGTTTTTTTTTATTAAATTAAAAATTATTATATTTTTATTATTATTATTATTGAAAATTTAGCACCAAATGATCGTGCAACAAATTCAATTTACCCGTCCTATAGGTAACATATAGAAACGTACATAAAAATGTTACTATCGATACTGTCTGGCACCGGGCTATCACCCTGTCCTGCCATCGACGATCCTGGATACACTGTTGGTAGGGTATCCTAGTAAATGTTACCATCGAATACAGGGGTATCCAATGGCGTGGAAACACCCAATTCAATAGACGATCCAATTGTTTGCGTACTAAAAACGTACGCGAGTTAACCAAATCACGCATCTCAACGTAGTTATCCATTGCCAGATCAATAATAGTATGACAGTTACCTAAACGTTGGTCACTATAGACAGGTAGGACTTTCCTCAGGTTATTATTGTTGGCCGTCAATAGTTCGTCCAAAATCAGACAGTCCTCGAAACCGCAATTCATTCCCTGACCGAAAAACGGTACCATTGCGTGGGCGGCGTCACCCATAAGTAGGACTTTATCCAAATAGTTATACGGTTGACATTTGATTGATATCAGAGGTTGTGGACTGTTAGCAAAAAACACTTTAACCAATTCCTCCCTGTTTTTGTGGGCAATGGTGGCGGGGATAGGGATGTAAAAAATAAAATAAGTATTTAATATTTAAATAATAGAAAACAATATATTATTTGATAGTAATTGCAGTTTTTATAAGTTATAGAAATCACAACTATTATTGCGTAAAAATATATATTAATTGTTTAAAATTGAAAACTTATTAACAAATTAAGTATATTATTATTATTAGATAATTTATTTCTAATTTTAAATTTAAAAAAATTGTTTAATAATTATAGTCTAAACTTTATCTAAAAAATAAATAAATGACTTAAATTAAAACAATTAACAATAATATTATATAAAGAATTATTTAAATAAAAACTAAAAAATTTTATATTTATGTAACTAAAAACAACAACAAAAAATCTCAATCAAACTTAAAAACTGCAATTAATTTTCATCAACAATAATACAACTAAAAAAATTATTGATAGGAAAGTCCTATTATTTTTTGTTATTATTATTATTATTATTATTATGAATAAATATATACATACTCTCCGATCAATGGTATAGAATCGGGAAAATATTGTTTGAAAAAATTCAATAAATCATTTCTATCCAAAATCGACTCATAATAACGAAACGGCATAAATAGGGTAACCGTAAAACTGTGGTCCAAATTAGGCAATGCTATCATCATAAACGACCCGCGGGGCCATATATGTAAATAGTTAACTTCCATAGCGTACTGGCCATCAGCGGCCCGTGGCGGTATACTCAATTCAATATAACCGTGCTCTATATATTGTTGACTATAATTAAATCGGATAAGTTTGACCATTGCCCGCCGGACCGACGAAAAAGCGCCGTCACATCCGATAATTATATCAGCTTTTTGATGGCGTTGTCGTTGTTTGTCGTCGTCCAACAGGAATGTCATCTTACCTATCAATTTGTTTTTTTTTGTTGATTGATTGATTGATAGGTTAGCTATATATATATTAATCAGGGTTGCAAAAGGGAAAGGGTAGGATAGTGTTTAGGGATCTATTTTACCCCCCCCCCCTGAGATCGAGGTTTTTAGGTTCCCCCCCCCCTGGCCTAAAGCCAAAAAGTTAGGTGACTTCTTACCAATTTATAGGGAATTTATAGGGAATTTATTGGGAATCTATTGGTAATCTATTGGGAATCTATTGGGAATAGATTGGGAATAGATTGGGAATCTATTGGGAATTTCCTGGGAATCTATTGGTAATCTATTGGGAATCTATTGGGAATAGATTGGGAATCTATTGGGAATCTATTGGGAATCTATTGGTAATCTATTGGGAATCTATTGGGAATCTATTGGGAATCTATTGGGAAATTATAGGGAATTTATAGTGAATTTATTGGGAATTTACTCAAATTTGACAAAAAATTGTCGTTAAAAAATGCAATAAAAGTTTTCACCCCCACCCTATACCACAAAGCTTTTTTGTCATTTTTACCCCCCTATACCCCCGCCCTCTGAAATCAAAAACCCTTAGCAACCCTGATATTAATATATATATATATAGAACCGGGAGGTGTACTATAGTATAGTAAACATATATACCTTCATCCAGATTAGCGCCGACCAGTTTATGGCGAAAATTAACGGAAATATTATTAAACTTTTCCACTTCGGTAAGCATTAGTTCGTTAAGATATCGCCTACTAATGGACAGTAGATATTGATCCCGATTAGTACCGTAAGGTATGGCCCGTTTACGGCCAGAGACATCGTGTATCAAACGGGCAAACATTTTGATTGAATAGTTTTCTAGTATTTGAGTTTCCAGTCCGAGTGACCGGAGCGCCGACCGACCCCTTTCGGATAGCGCCATATTTATCGACTTTCCCACTACCTGTTCCTGAGTACGTGGGTCGTCACGCATCTCGTAGACATCTACCTACAGGTGCCGTATATAGTAAATACATCAACAACAAAAAATAAATGTATCAAAAAATTACTTATTTATCTAATTAGTAGTAATAATAATAATAGAAATTTAAATTTAAAAAAAAAGTTTCTCTCTATTAATACATGATATCCTTTTCGGGCCAAAAAACAGGCAGCCATTGAACCGACCTATCGGTGCCAAACAATATGATAGTTAACTATATTATATATTTTTTTCAATACATACCAGTCCACCGCCGACCACAGCTATGGAGTCCATAATGTTGTTGTTGTTATTATTATTATTGTTATTATCTATAGTATAGTAATCACCAGAAAATATTTTTAACTTCAAAAAATACAGTAATATATTATTAACTGATAATACAAATACAAATAATATATTAATAATTACTGCAATAAAAAATTAGTTAAATATTTTTTTCTAGTAAAAATAAAGTAATTAATTTAAAAAAAACACAAATTAATTTGTAATTATTATTAAAAAAATTATATATTATTTTTTTAAGGAATATTATATTTATAAAAAAAAAATAATTTTGGCAATGAACTTTTTTTTGCTATAATTTAAATTAAAAACAATTTTTTTAAAAAGTATAACTTTAAGGTATTTTTAAAAATTAGTTTTTTCATAAATAAAAAAATATTAATTATTTATATTATATATCATATACACACACAAATACAGTATATATATATATATATATATAACTTTTTTTTGATTAATGTAAGTTTTTTATGTATATACGATATATAAATATATATTAATATAACTTTTTTTTAAAAATAATAATTAAAATTACTAAAGTTGTTCACGTATTTCTCATTATTAATTATCTTAATAATAATTATTATTATTATTTAAAATTAAATTTTTTTTGTTGAAAAAAAATGGAAACTAAACAACAAAAACATATCACAGAAAACTGTGAATTACTTGAATATAAACTTGTAATACAAAAATATATTTGAAAATTATATATATATATATATAAGTATAGTAATAGAAATAATAATAATATAAACTTATCATTAAATAATTATCTAATATACAGTATACTACCAGTAATATACTAACAGTAAATGGATGGCATGATTATTATTATTATTATTATTATTGATATTATTATGAGAAACGACTATTTATTATTTGATACCAATTCAAGGTCTGGTATTTTTTGAAAAATAATATATATATATATATTAAACAAAAATAAATATATTAAAAGAGTGAACTTTAAACCAATTATCAGCCGCTGATATGACTTTTTTTTTGTTGGTTGGTTGGTATATATATATATATATATATATATATATATATATTTATATATATTTACTGTACATATATATGTATATATATATGTTTGGTATCTATAATATAAACTTCAAGCAAAAACCAAGCAATTAATAAATAAATTTCTGATAAATTTAGACATTATATATAATGTACTGTATATACAGTATACACAGTATAATATAAATAATTACAAATAACTTATACATACAAATATATATATATATATATATATATCTATACTATTATATATATATATATATATATATATATATAAGTGGAATGTCTATAATAAATAAATAAATTTTACTACAAAAACAATACATTTGTTTTGAAAGTTTATATATGATATATATATAAGTGACAATAAATATATAAATTTTTATTTTCAAACTTAAAAAAATTAATATCTAAATAATGTTTTTAATAAAGTTTATATTATTTATTTTCTATAACAAAATTTTTGTTTTTATTAACTAAGATTTTATTTTTATTTAATTTTTGAAAATTTTCCTACTCAAAATTTAAAAAAATAAATATATATTTTCATCATTATTACTAATATAATAATCTAGTATTTAATACAACAACAACATGTTTGATATACTTAATAATTTATATTGTTTTTTTTAGTAGATTATTATTTTTTAACAAAAAATATAATAACAATAATACTGTAATAATAATAATAATAATAATTTTTAAACATTTATTTTTTTTAAACAGATCATTGACATACAGTATATCATAGATATTCATTGTATTACTCAAAATATATATATATATATATATTCAATAACTTGTTTTTAAAAAATTTTATTTTGTTATTATTATTATTTAATTTTGTTTTATGACATCAATTATATCAATTAAACATATATTTTTTTGTGACACTTTTGATGTACTTAAATGTGATTATAAAAACAAATCTATTAAATTAAATACAAAATTAAAAAAACAAATTTATATATTTTACTATCAATTTTAGGTTATCATTGACAGGAGATATATTGTACAGATCTCTCTCTCTCTCTCTCTCTCTCTCTCTCTCTCTCTCTCTCTCTCTCTCTCTCTCTCTCTCTCTCTCTCTCTCTCTCTCTCTCTCTCTCTCTCTCTCTCTCTCTCTCTCTCTCTCTCTCACTCACTCACTCACTCACTCACTGTAACTATCAATCAATTATATATATATTTAATAATAATATTAAATCTCTTATCATTAGCAACAATAAAATTAACCAAAAAAAATAAATAAAATAATTATAATACAAAATATACTTATTTTAGAGGAAATATTGTATATATATATATAATAAAAATTTAGTCGAAAACTTACTTAATTTTTGTTATTATTATTACTATAATGTTATAAATTAATAAAAATTAATTAAAAAAATTATATACGAAAACAATGTACCTTGGCTATTTGATTAATAATAATTTAATTTTTTTGTATATAATTTGATAGCAAAAATTAAGCTTTATACATTTAGTTAGTTATTACTAGGGCTTATAGCCCCCATAAGTTTAATTCAATTATAATCTATGGTGGGTGTCAATCATATATATAAGTATATATATATATTTATAGGATTATAGTTTATAATGATAATTAATTACTAATTAAACTAATCTAATGTTAACATAATCAATAATTAAAATAGTTATCTATTAGTTGATAATATACTTGAATAAGATAATTGATATATAAAACTAAATAATTTAAAAAAACAATTATTTTTATAACTTAAAAAACAAAATTTATAATAATAATAAATATTTATTTATTTATAATATTATTTCTATAGTTTTATTTTCTATACATACTATATATTAATTTGATATTTAATGATAATATCATAGTTTTATTTTAAAAAAAACATTTTAATTACTATTACTACACAATAAAAAAAATTTAAAAAAAAGTTTATACAATAATACAATAATATTTATTTAATATATTCAACAAAAAAAACTATATGTTTTAAAATTTCTACTAATTTATTATATATCTATATATTTATTCAAAAAAAAAACTAATGTATTTAATAATATATTGTGCATTATTTTTATTGTACATATATATATTGAATTTTATTATTTTATTAATTAATTTATTAATTAATTTAATTAATTTATTGTTTCAATTGATATAACTTAAGATTTCTGCCTCTAAGCTGATATGATTTAGCTGCCGGTGCTGCCGGTGATGATAGCTTTTTATAGGACAGTCGTCCATTTGATGACTGTGTATCATATTGGCCCTCATGTTGTTGTTGTTGTTGTGGTGCCTCTTGTTGTTGTTGCTGATGATGATGATGACTACCACCATATGATTGTTGATTTAATGGCTGATGATCTTCAGCACCACCACCACTGCCGGCACCACCAAAATGATGTTGAATAGACTGTTCAAAGTCAAAGCTACCGAAACTACCACCACTACTACTACTACTTGATTTGTCTGGATTTGAATCGGCAGTACCACTGTTACCACCAGCACCTACACTACCTGTTCTACCACTACTAGCACCATCCCCGTCCTCCTGATGACGATAGCTGCCATCATCACTACCATTATCATCATCATTGTGTTGGCTATTATATGTTGGTTGTTGGTGTTGGTGTTGGTGCTGATGGTGATGTTGGTCAGCAGCACCGTTACCGTATGAGCCATATTGAGGTGCATTGTACTGATGATGGGCTACTGCCGGTGCTGCTGCTGCCGGTGCTGATGACTCCGATTGTTGGTGTCTAGTGGTTGGCGAGTTGTAGTTGTCCGGTGTCTGCCGGTGCTGGTATATAGAGAAATGGGACTGTTGGTGTTGGGCCTAATTTCAAACAACAAATTTATAGTTTAGTATTATTATTATTATTATTATTATTATAACTAAATAATTGATTGATTGATAAGTTAATTGAATTTTTTTAAACACTTAAAAACAAAAAAATATAGAAAATTTATATAATGCATTCAAACATATTATAAAAAAATTAAATAATAATTAGTTTTAATAATAATAATAATAATAATAATAATAATAATAATAATAATAATAATAATAATAATAATAATAATAATAATAATAATAATAATAATAAATTATAGATAATCTTATATTATTTTTTTTAATTATAAAATATATTGTTGTTGTTATTGTTTTATATATCTAATGTTATATATATATAAATTGATAATTTTTAATTGTTTGTAATTGATTGTTTAGTTGTTTATATATAACTAATTGCTAATATGTTTAATGTACAGTAAAGTAAAGTAAAGTATAAGTGTATAATTAGTTTTTTTTTTGAGAAAAAAAAAGTTTTTTTTTTAAAATGTTTGAATGCATTATAAACTTTCTATAGTTTTTTTGTTGTTGTTGTAAAAAATTAAGTGTTATTTATTGTTTATTGAACTTAACTTAACTTAACATTACTTAACTAAATAAATGTTATTAACAAAAATATTAAGTGATATACTAATTATGTTATTAGTATGAAAAATAAAAAATTAAAAAAAAATTGAGAGTTAATTATTATATAATATATTTTTGTTTGAAAGTGATTATACCTATAATAACAATAATAATAATTATTATTTACGGTATTATAGTTACAGTATATATATATATATGTTTATTATTTAAAACAAATTATATATCAATAATATAATTGTCAATAATTTTTGTTATTATTATTATTATTTAATTTTAAATTACTTACTCCACTATCACTTCCTGGTTGATAATGACTTGGATTATGTGAAACCTATTGAATTAAAAAATAAAATAAAAACAAACAAAAAATAATATAAAATAATTTTTTTAATACTAAAAAACTTGATATTGATATTAATTTGATAATGATTTTGATTGTTATTTATTTATTTTATGTTATCAATTATATTATAGATAATTGATAAATAATTATTATAAATTAATTAAAAAAATAATTAATATTTTCTAGATAAGTCCTATATTGAGTTACACTATAACCTGTTAATCTATATCGAAATACTGTATAATTAAAAATTTTAGTATTTGATTAAAAATTAAAATATAAATCATTGTATTTTATATATATAAAAAAATAGTTTTCATAAAATCTGAGTTAAATTAATGTTAAATCATTTAAATATATTTTGCAAATATCTTTAAAAAAAATAAAGATACCATTTTTTTAAAAAAAAATAAATGTTTAATAAACATTTTTTTTCTTAATTAAAAAATAAATAAATAAAAAATAAATACAACAAACTAAAAAAATATTTACAAATATAAACTAATTAATAAAACAAATAAAAATAGTTATTAAAAAAAAATTTTAAAAAAAGTAATATCTATATTATACATTAATTAAGTATTTTTTTTAAAACAACAAAAAATTTATTAATAATAATGTAATAATCATTAATCATACCTGATTTGCACCACCACCACCACCACCACCACCACCACCACCCTGTCCATGATGGCCAACATTATTCAAGCTAAACGAGTATCCATTTTGATCCTGGTTAAAATCTAGAGTACCGCTGCCGTCAAATTTCTGGGAATAACTGGGTGCCAGTACGCCCAGTCCTATTGAAAATTTCGGAGCCCCACCACCACCACCAGCTGCTGCACCTCCCTTACCATCACTACTACTACTACTATCCTCACCATTGACTACCACTACCACCACAACCAACACCACAATAGACAATGTTTTTAAAAAATTTTGTAACATTTTTGTTGTTTGTTTATAATGTATACACAATAAAACAAATATCTTAACAAATGTGTGTTTTCTACAAAAAAAAAATCAAATAAAAATATATTGAGACACTATTTGCTAAAAATCATTGGGTTTTTATAAACATATTTAATTATTATTATTATTTTTTTGTTGTTGTCTCTAATTATTTAGTGTCTAATATCATATATATATATATATATACTGTGTATACTATTTATTAGATAATTTTCTTTATTATTATAATTGACTTTTAAAAAAAAACTTGTTATATAAGTTATATATATATTTTTACAATAATATTGTTTACTATATATTATATAATACTAGTTAGTAAACAGGCAGCTAATCAAGCGTTTAATTTTTGTTTTATTTTATATAACTTATATCTATATAATTTTTTTTTTGTGTAGACAAACTTGTAATTATGTTTGAAATATTATTATTATTATTATTATTATTATTTATGTCAATTGTTACGATAGATATCATTGTTATTTTTTATATGTTATGTTAATTAGATTATAAACTTTTTTTTAATTTTAAAACAAAATGTTTCTAATTTTGGTATATATTTATTAGTTATTTTTGTTTTAAAATATTTAAATAAAAAATTTGTTTAGTTAAAAATAATTTTATGTTAAAAAAATTTTTTAATTAGCATTATGGTTATTATACTAGTGTTATTGATTATATAGTTAATAATAAACAATTGTCATCAAGTAAAAAATACAAAAAAATAAATAAATAACTAATATATTTATAACCTAATTATATACTGTATATATATATCTGTAAAATAATAATAATAATTACACCCACTATTGACAAATAGGATAGTTTTTTTGTTAAAAGTGTAAAAAACTATTTATTATTATTATTAATATATATATATATATATATATATATATATATATATATATTGAATATAATTTATAAATATATATACTGTATATAATAATTGAAAAAAAAACATTTATTTTATTTACTTAAAAAAAAGTTTCAAAACAATCAAAACTATATAAATATATAATATTAATCTATAAACCGTATAATCAATTATTAGATAATTTTTTCTAAAAAAAATATATGAACTTTTTATTATTATCATTATTATGTTTAGTGTAAAATTGATAATGATAATGATAAATTAATAATACTGATAATAAATAAAAAAAATAACATATAATCTAATATATAATTGTAATCAATTATTTTAATCGACTTTATAAATATTATATAAGTATTGTAATAAAAATAAATATGTTTATTATTATTTTTTTTTGTATCAATCAATTATAATAGTTAAGTTAGTAAATAATAATAGTTTAGTAAACAATTTTTTTATAGATTATTTTCAAAATAAATTATTATTCAATAAAAATGACTAAATTTATAATAATAATAAAATATATATATTTATTACTGTATTTATTTTACTATTATAAATATAAATTAATTATAGAAATATACAGGTAATATTTTCAGTATAATAAAATTCAAATGTATTTATTTATATATTTAAATACTATGATTATTATTATTATTATCATATTTTTATATTCAATATTATATTAAAGTAATAACAATATTAATATACATTATTATTGTTTAGATATACAGTATATACTGTATATATACAGTACTATACTATCATTGAATTGTTAAATCAATTGACTTATTATTATTAGTTATTTTTTTTTTTGGTAGAATATTCTCTATATATATGGTTGCCATAGAAACTGACGCTATATATATATTTGGTTGCTATTGTTATTATTGTTAGAGTATGCTCAAATATGGTTATTATGTTAATATATATATATACAGTATATATATATATACAATATATATATATATATATATAGTTGTTTACCATGTTAAAATCAATATAATAATTTTTTTCAAAAAAAAAAATGATATAAATATTATTTTTTAGTAGTATATCTAAAAATTTCAAATATACTGTATCTATAATTAAATAATTATTATATATATATGATTATAATAAATATCCATATATATATATATATATATATATATATATATATATTTAATCTGTATTAAGCAACAATAATTTAAACTCATAAATAAAATATATATGTATTTTATTTTATTTTTTTAAATAAATAAATAAATAAATGTGATTGGTTAATAATATTGTAATTAATATACACTTACAAAAAATATTAATAATTATTATAGTAGTGTCAGTAACCAAAAACCATAAGTTTTAATAATATAAAGTGTTATTATTTCATTATGTCATTCAATAATATTTTATTTTATTAAAAAAAATTCAATTAATTAAAATATTACGTGTTTTATAATCAATTTGTTGTTGTGTTTTAAATATTTGTGATTATTTAAAAAAATATTACATTAAATATTATGTATATTAACGATATGTATATGACTATAATGCTTAAAATGATGATAATATATTTAAAATTAATTAATGGAAAAATACAGTAATAAAAAAATTCAATGATTTTCATAATTAAAAAAAATACTACATTTAACTATTAATTAATAAAATTTAAAAAAAAATATGGCACCATATAATAATAATAATAATATTGTTACCAATAATAATAATAATAATAATTGTTATCATCAATTAATGGCAGTTAATAATAATGACAATGGCAACAATGTTAATGATAGTCATAATACTAATAATAATACAAATAATAATTTAAATACTAATAATTCAAATATGATAATCGTATGGTCAAGTGTTACAAAACTGCTAACTGTCCATTTGCTGGCCGTCTATGGCCTATACTGTTGGCTATTGACAGCTAGATATCAGACCATTTTGTGGACCTATTCCCTAGGGGTTTGTTCATCGTTTGGCATACTGTGCGGCGCTCATCGTCTATGGTCTCATCGATCATATAAAGCCCGACTACCCTTACGCGTACTGTTGATGCTCCTGAATACGCTGGCCCTACAAAATACCATATACGACTGGTGCCGGGATCATCGGGGTCATCATAAATTCTCGGAAACCGATGCCGACCCGCATAACTCCCGACGCGGATTTTTTTTCTCCCATATGGGTTGGCTAATGGTACGCAAACACCAGCTAGTGGTGGAAAAAGGTCGTACACTTCAGCTACAGGATCTATCAGCTGATCCGGTTGTCCGATTTCAACGTCGATACTATCTGCCACTGGTTATCCTAGTATGGGGTTTAGTACCGACTCTACTACCCTGGTATATGTGGTCCGAATCGTTGGCCATTGCATTTTCGGTTAATATGACCCGCTATGTTATGTCGTTGCATCATACATGGCTGGTCAACTCGCTGGCCCATATGTCCGGCTATAGGGTATGTATATATCATATTATTATTATATATATAAATCTATAGATTTATGTAGTAGTAGTATTAGTAGTAGTAGTAGTAGTTGTTGTAGTTGTTGTTGTTGTTGTTGTAGTAGTAGTAGTAGTAGTAGTAGTAGTAGTAGTAGTAGTAGTAGTAGTAGTAGTAATAATAATAATAATAATAATAATAATAATAATAATAATAATAATAATAATAATAATAATAATAATAATAATAATAATAATAATAATAATAATAATAATAATAATAATAATAATAATAATAATAATAATAATAATAATAATAATAATAATAATAATAATAAGTAGTAGTAGTAGTTGATGTAGTAGTTGCTGTAGTAGTAGTAATAATAATAATAATAGATCTATTGTTTTGTTATTTTTTATATTTATTTAAAAAAAAATGTTTTTTTCCTTTAATTAAATCTCTCAATCTATATATCATATATATATATATATATATATATATATATATATATCGTATAGCCGTACGACAAATATATAGCTTCCCGTGAAAATCAATCGGTAGTATACCTGACCCTTGGCGAAGGCTATCATAACTATCACCATACATTCCCATTTGGTAAGTGTACTGTATATATATATACTGTATTAGGTATCAGTAGTTAGCACCAGAGTTAGAGCACAGTTATCCTAATTATATATCCTAATTAATTATTTTTTAGACTACTCGGCCAGTGAGTTGGGCTGGAAATCTAATTTCAATTTGGCTACGGCTTTCATCGACATGTTTGCCTATATGGGACAGGCCTACGATCGGAAACAGGCGCCCATCGAGTCCATTGAGAATCGTAAGCTAAGGACAGCGGCGGCTACTGATCTGATTGATGATCTGAATAACCATCACAACAACATACCGGTGCCCAACAACACCATCAACAACAACAGCAACAATATGTATGGTTATGCCAGTACTGTCTATGATTATCTAATGGGCATACTAGTAGTTACCTGGCCATTGTGGCTAACATTTACTATTAGATTATTTATCTAAATGTTTTTTTTGCAAAAAAAATAACAATAAAAAATAAAATAACTATTATATATATATATATATATATATCCATACATTATTTTAATGTAATAAAACACACACACATATAAATATCTAATAATTATATATACAGTATATGTGTGTATAGTTTTAATTTTTTTTTAAAATAATAATAATAATAAATATATAGTAAAAGTATATACAGTATAAAAAATATATATACTTAGTGTATACCACTACCAAAAAAAAAATTAAAATTTTGTTGATAATATAAAAGTAATATATTTTATTATTATTATTTTTTTTTTGTTTTTTTAAAATTAAATAAAGTATTAACTATTAAATATTCAATAGAAATAATTATTGTATTAATAACTATTAGCAGCAAAAAAAATTTTGTTTAAAAAAATAACGGTTTATTTGTTTTTGTTTTGTTTTTGTGGAAAGCTTTGTAATTGTAATGTAAATTATAAATACTATTATATAATTAAAAAATCAATTTTATTTTTTATTCAATAAAAAATATTTATCTATTTTTTGTTTGTTTTTTGTTTTGTTATTTAAAATAAAACAAATAAATTATTTAATTAATAACTAATAATAATATGAATAATTAAAAAAAAATGTTTAGCTATAGTGATATACAGTACTATCATAGTAAACTTTAACTATTATTATTAGTAGTAGTAGTAGTAATAATTAATAATATATTTTTTTAAATATAAAAATTTTAATTAAACATTATTATTATAATAATTTAATTAGAAAAAACTTATATAAAACTTATGCATAAAATTAAAAAACTTTTACCAAATAAAATATTATAGTAGTATTAAACACAAATAATAAACTTAAATAATATTAAATATTTATTTATTTTTTTAAAAAACTTTAATTAAGTTATGTTTTTTCCAAATGAATTTAATAAATAAAAAATTAAAATAAATTTTTAGTATTAAATATATATTGATATATAGATAGACATTTATATATATAAACAATTAATTTATTATTATTATTTTATAAATGAAAAAAATCAACAAAAATTAATATCATTTTTTTAAAAAATTATTTAAACATAAGAATAATTGTAATTTAATTCAAAACAAATTTTACATACTTTTTTAATAAATAACAAAATTGTATTTTTAAAATCAAAAATATTTTACTTATATATAATACAATTGTTAAATAAAAAATATCAATATACATAAATATATATATAATATAAATATATATAAAAAAATATTACTATGATATATGATCACATTGTTTTTGTAATAATTTAAATGTTTAATAATATACAATAAACTAATATCAAAAAAAATTGTTTAAATAAATTTACAAAAGTTTTTTTTAATTATATCTTATGAATACATTTAGTATAATATATCTATATATATATATATACTGTATATAAATTATAAAATAATATTATATGCTTAAATAATATAAAATAACGTTATAGTCAGTTAAATAACTATAAAATTTCTATTATATTTTTAATAAAATTTTTATAGACATAAAAATATATTATTTAGCATTTATTTCAGTAAATAATTTTATTTATAATTTTAAATCACGTATTTTCCATTTAAACAAAAACATATACAATAGTTATTTTTATTTAATTTTTTTTTAAAAAATATTTATTCATCACAACATTTTATATATAATATATATTAAAATTGATAATAACATTAATATACTGATATGTTTTTCAAATTATTTAAAAAAAACTGTTTGTTTACTTTGAATATAAAAATTGCTTATAATGTAATTGTTTTAATTTTAATTAAATGTAATTTTTTTAGTATCTGAAAAATTTTTAATTGATAGTAGTAAAGCAGATTTATTTTAATAAATATTTTTTTAAAAAATATAATAAATTGAAAACTAATTATTATCAAATTAAACTTAAAACTAATTTTTAGTTTTAACAAAAATAGATTGTTTACTGTATATGTTTAAAATTATTTGTATATTATAAAATGTTTTATTTCTATATAATTTTTAAAAAAAAATAAATTTTATAATACTTAAAATAAAATAAAATAATGATTTGATATTGAATATCAATACTTAAGTTATTGTTATATAAAAAATAATATTATGTATCATATTAATAAAATAAATTGTAAAAATTAAAAAATATATTTATTATATTATAACTTGAAATAATTTACAATAATTTGATATAATAGCTATTTGTTGTAAATATGATACAATAAAATCAAATAATAATATATTATTTAAATAAGACGTATATATATTAAGAAAATTATTGATTTTTAAATATTAGTTTATTATTACTAAAAAAAACTATAGAAAAAAACATAATTAATTTTTCAATAAAATTTAAGTTTATTTTTTACAAACAAACAAACAATATGTTGTATTTTACAGTTATTTTATGTAAATATTAATTTTAGAAAAAACTATTTTAAATATAAATGTTATTAAATTATTATTTTAATATTTTTTTATAAATTTTAAAAACTTAAAGCCCTATTGATTGTCAACTATGCCGTTGTTGTTGTTATTGTTGGTGACCTAGAAATCGGTAACTATCCGGACATTACCGATGATGATACCAATGAGTGCGGTATCGGTCGTGAATCGCAACTGATGAACGACCGGTGCTTTGAATGGCACAGTAGTCGCGATTTAATGAACACGAGTTCCTCCTCGTCCTCTATAATCAATGGTAGGGACGCACAGAGGGCTGAATTGCCGTACATTGTCTACATTGAAAAGTGGTTGAACAACGAAAAAATGTAAATATATATATATCAGGGTTAAGTAAGGGGGTGGGTAGGGTTTTTTTTAAAAATATTTTTGGAAATTTTACCTATTTTCCAGTGAATTTATTTTGTTTATGCGCGTGCATTACAAACACGCGTTTTAATACAAAAAACCTATTTAATAATACAGTACTATTTGCACGTAAAATCATGTCACTGTATTATTGTATTCACATTAGAAGTACCGTAAAATTGTGTTTTATTTCCCTATATACAATTCAACAAAAAAAATCCAAAAAAAAATACATTTTCATCAGGGTTGCTAAAGGGGGGGGTAGGGGGGGGGGGTAAGACATCTTACCCCCCCCCCCTGAGATCGAGAAATTTTGGCTTTTACCCCCCTGGCATGAAGCCAAAAAGTTAAGGGTTTAATTCAACTATGTAAAATTTTATATTAAACAAAAAAATAAATATTAAATTATTCTTAATATAAATTAATAGCTTATATATACAAAATAAATAGATAAAAATACTTAATTACATCAATTTAACATTATTTACACTAGTTGGGGCACTCCACAAGCTAAAAAATAAATTCCCACCAATTTTCAAATAAATTAATGATAATATTTTATTTTATTTTTTAGCTGTTTATAAAAGATAACATATATTTTATTTCTTATTAAAAGTCGAAAACTAATATTTTTAGCATAAATTTTAAAATAATTATTTTTTAATATTTTTAAACTTTATATTAAAATGTTAGTTATGTGCTTTAAAAATAATAATTATGATATTAGTTAAATATTACATAGAGTTGGGGCACTCCACAAGGGAAAAAAGCTCCCAAATAAATTCCCACCAATTTTCAAAAAATAATGAAATATATATTTTTTATTTTTTTAGCTCTTTATATATGATAATATATATATATATTATTACATATTAAAAGTTGAAAACAAATTTTTAGCATAAATTTTGAAATTATTATATTTTAATATTTTTAAACTTTATATTATAATGTGTTAGTTATGGTTCAATATGAAATATTATATAAAAAATATTCTTAAATTAATTATTTAGTTATTTAATAATTATTTCTGCCAATTTTATTTTTATTATTATTAAAACGTTATAATAAATACAATACTATATCATTAATTTTTTAATTAATAACTATTTTTAAAATCTAAATGATATTTTTATTTAATAATTATAATAGTTATATATATATTTATGCTATTCTTAATATTTAGAAATCATTTTGAGTATTGAGAAATTAAGTTGAGAATATTTTTCTTAGTTAATTTATTGGGAATTTAGTTGGAATTTATTTGGAATTTATTTGAAATTTATTGGGAATTTATAGAGAATTTAGTGGGAATTTAGTGGGAATTTAATTGGAATTTACTGGGAATTTACTGGGAATTTAGTGGGAATTTAGTGGGAATTTAATTGGAATTTACTGGGAATTTACTGGGAATTTAGTGGGAATTTAGTTGGAATTTAATGGGAATTTAGTGGGAATTTAATGGGAATTTAGTGGGAATTTAATGGGAATTTACTCAAATTTGGCAAAAATTGTCGTTTAAAAATGTAATAAAAAATGTTCACCCCCCCTATACCCCCCAAGCTTTTTCGAAAATTTTGCCATTCCCCCCCCCCCCTAGACCCCACCCCTGAAATCGAAAACCTTTAGCAACCCTGATTTTCATATAGTAAAAAACTCGCATTTTTTACCACCACTTGTAACAAGTAATTATTATACAAATTAAAAAAAACTATATTTTTCATATGTGAGAAAACTCGCATTATTTCCCATGACTTTGACATTTCCATATGGGAAATAAAACACAATTTAACGGTATATATATATATATTATGATATAACTCTACACCACCATCACCACCATCACCAACACCTCTACCCTAACACACATACTATTTAAGACTATTACCCTATTGTTTCTATTGACACTATTTACACTATCTCTATCTCTATCTCCATCTCTATCTATCTATCTCTGAGTGTGTGGGTGTATGTGTACGACTAGTATTGTATTAATTTTTTTTTAAATATTCCTAATAATAGGGTGATTCTGGTGGTCCTCTTATTCAATATATAAACGGTAGGGCTGTCCTAATTGGTATAACTTCTAGAGGTTGGATAAATGCATTCACTCGTAAGTGTTTATTGGATGAACAAATGGATACAACATTTATCAGAATAACCGAAAAAATTAAATGGATTTCAAAACAAATTAATGGATAAATAATTGATAATAAAATTGAG